TTCGCCATCACTGCTGTAGTTGATTGTATCAAAAGCTGCTGAGCAGTCCAGTAGAACCAAGAGGGGCACACTCTTCCCTGTACAGTTCCCAGTGTGGCTCATCCACCCAGGTGACCAAAGCTGTCTCCATCCCATAACGAGGCGTGAAACCAGATCAAAATGGGTCTAGAATTGCCACAGCACAAATACTAAATCCTGAGAAAGGATGTTCACGTGTTCACTTTTGTACGTGAAAAGGGGTGGTGGTGGATAAGAATGAGCTAGATTTGTTAGCAGTATGAAATCTTGCTCACAGTAGCTGTGTCACAAACAGACTTGGATTTGATTAAGAGGGAAAGGTCAGACAATCTCAGTCTATAATTTAACATGACAAGTGAGGAGTGAGTAAGAGCTGCTTCACACTTTGGGAAGGAATCATGTTTGCCAGAACTCTACAGATGGTTCCCATCTTGAATTTTAAAATGGTAAGGACAAGCGTTCCTGAACTCTTCATAGCACTACACCAAGCCCAAGGGACCCTGGCACCTATTGAATATGTTGCGTTGGAAGAAGGCATATCTACTCTTCACACTTAGTAAAGAAAACATTGGCCAGTATAAATCTTTGGCAGGAACCACAGTCTGGCCTTAAAGCAGCTTTGCTTCATGTTCAAACATTCATGTAGACTTTATTTTCTTTTATTTTGTCTGTCTACCTGTGTAATGCTTACCAGTTGCCAGTATTTGTTTGTTTGTTTGTATGTTGATTGATTGATTGATTGATTGAGTGAGTGAGTGAGTGAGCTTTTAGATCACCTGACCTAGTAAGACACTGTTTTGGGCAGTTTACATAATTAAGAGTGAGCTTCTAGATCACCTGACCTAGTAGGACACTGTTTTGGGCAGTTTACATAATTAAGCAAAACACACAAACTAAAATAATAAAATAATGCGTATATATGAGGTATTTCTTGCTGGGGCTGGACAACCACAGGCAGAACTGAGGTACTGCCTAAGGTGAAGCAGTTGTTTGTACATACAGTATCAAGGAAAAGGAAGAATGAAAACACACATAAACATTTAAAGTGGAAGGGGGACATCCACACTTCAGCACATCTTTACTCCCACATTTGCCTTGTTCGAGTTCAAGACCAAAAGAGGAAGTCCCACAAGACAACAGCCATGATTATCCATTGCAACAGAGAAAACATGTCTGTGACGCTGAGTATGCAGAAGCTGGGGTATTATTGAAGCTATAAAAAAAAAAATGCAATCTTTGGAGTCTTAACAGCAAACTCTGAACATCCAAAATCCACCCCTCTGCATGTTCACTGAGAAGTAATAAGAGGCAGCACAGTATAACAATCCAAATTATGCATGTCTGTTTACAAATAATGAGGACTCGGTTGTCACATAGCAGTAAACTGGGCAGCAAGTTCTAACATGCTCTGCCATAGAGGGCAGGTATTGGAGAGGGAAGGTTGTTGGTGTTTTTGTGTTTCCTTTTTTTTTTTTTAAAGGATGTTAAATCAGGATTGGCCATGGGCATCAGACTGAATTACTCATTCACTAAAGACTGTTCTGGGTCCTTCACAGATGCAGGGCATCCAAGTACTGTAGATCCATATCTTGCTTTTGCTCTCTTGTCAGCTGCCTTCCGAGTTGCTCTGAATCACAGGTTGGCAAGCACAGCCAACACCCCCAGTCCTCCAACCCAAGAGTTAAACCAGACAGGAAGTAAGCATGGTATGCTGCTGTTTTATAGTTAATGATTACTGAACAGATTGATTGAGACCAGGAAGATTAGGGGAGGAGAAAGGAGGAGGGCAAATCACCTTCAGTACCTATTTCAAGCTGCTTCTGATGCCTTACCAATTAATTTCACTTTAATCTGATAGGTACTGTACAGTACCTCTTTTCATTCTACAGATTCAGTCTGTGGGTCCCTTTGCTCTGCACTTTTACAAAAGTCAGTCAATCTCCCCCCCCCGGCATGCTGTTCATTTGAAATCTATATCCATCCTCGGCTTTGGGGAGCTTCACTCAGGGAGCACCCCCCCCAGCACAGGGTGAACATCAAGGAAGAGTTGCTCTCCTTTCATTTCCTGACTGCAGTGACTGCTTTTTCATATATTTGTACTCACCATCAGACCTCAGTATATTTTTAAAGCAGCTCTGGCTTCATTTTTCAACAACATAATCAGTGATTAAAAGAAATATAAAAATAGGCATAGTGGTGTGCTGAAAAAAGGGGGCAGTTCTAAGCAGCAAAAAAAAAGATCAAGGAACTATCCAAAGAGCTGTAGATTAGGTCAAGAAAATAACACAATCATTTTTTGTTTTATATTTATCTTTGATATCAGCGAGAATATAATTTTTGAAAGTGCCAGAGCCTTCCCCATTTAGAAAAAAGTCTTCTCATTTGTCATTATCTGCAAACCTTTTTGCTTGAAGTTACTTATGCTATAAAAGACAGAAAAGTGTCAGACTGAAAGTTTTTATTTTTAACTGGTGTTATTCAAAACTTCACAAGAAACTTGTTTCTTGAGTGTTAGCTCAGGTTTTTCTATTTCTTAAATCAAATCATCTAATAGTCCAGTTTTGTGAGACAGAATGTTTCCCCTTCTCCTACCTACAGTTTCCCTGATTTAAAAAAATATTTATATGACTCATATCAGGCAAAAAGAAAACAAAAAGAAAAAATAAAGAAAACAAAAATGTTGTGGCACCTTAAAAACCAACTGCTATATTTCAATGTGAGATTTTGTTGACGAGTCCACTTCCTCAAAAATATGAATGGGACATAGAAGTGGGGCACTCTTCTAAAAATGCTATTTGAAACACTTTCCCTTATGTGCATACAACTGTTAATTGGTTATGATTTTTCCTGTCTAATGTTATTCCTTTCAGATATTACTATTTTCTTATAAGACATTCTTCAAAAACTGAAGGGGATGAGGACAGAGACTTGATTATGATACAGGTTGATTCTAGTGTATCTCAGGAACTGGCAGTTTCAAGAGGCTAAGGTACATGAGGAAAGTGGAAAATTGTTCACAATTGTTAATTTATTAGGTTTAATTTAAAGGTTTAATTTAAAGGTTAATTGAAGTTGTGTGTATTATGTACTAACAAGTCAGAAATGGCTTACAGTGACCGTAATAAGACTTTCAACATTGAGATGTTTAAGAAGCTGTTTTACTGGGACCAACAAACATGAGTTTCCATGGCCAAGCAGCATTCAAACCCAGTGTCCTGACTCTTGGTCCATCACTCCATCCACTATACCACATTGCATAATCCTCTGTTGAGGTTAGCTATATATCCATTAAAATACTACACTAATAACAATGACAGTTTCAGTTACTTCTTGTACATCTATTCTTGTTCCTATTTCACAGCATTTGAAAATGTTATTATTTTACTCACAAAATCAGGCAGAAGGCAAATTATTTAAGATCACAAAACCTCAGTGATATAAAATACGACTTACCTGTTTGATCCTTAAGATTAAGGAATGGAGCCTCCAGCCTGACAGCCTCACCTTGCTCATAGTGGGTGAAATGAAGGCTGCTGGTGGCTGTGTACGGATTATACCCTCTCCAAATCATTCCCTCTTCCCAGAGTTGGCAAATCAACAAAATAAATCCCAAATTAACTAGCTGACACAGGACCTGGGGTGGAGGAATCCAATCCTGCTTTAAATGGCATAGTTATTTAACAATACAGTCATGGCATCCAAATATACAGTGTCCCACAATGAAGTTGGCTGATTTTATTTTACGACTGATTTAATTAATTATGAGTACGCTGTCAATGTGATTCAGTGCTTGTAGTTTAAGACATTACACAGTACTTGTTCTTTAGATTTCACTACTAGTCTGTAGACAGTGGCAGCTCCTAGTCACCCAGAACATTAATGCAGGCATACTTAATTTTTTCACTGTCATCTTTAGGAAGGATGTACTGTAGTAGTTAATTTGGAATTTATTTTGTTGATTTGGTATGACCAAGCTAAAAAATGATAGTTCAGTCTATGACAAATTGATTTCTGATGTGTTCTGAGAACTAAGGTGGGAAATGTGAAGACTGACATGTTTCTGTTTTGTCTTCTCTCTGACTACCCAGGAAGCTGTATATTTTATCTAAGGCAAGATCGGAAAATATTGTTCTCCCATGATTTATTTTATACATCTGAATGACATTAAAAAGCAGATAGCAGTGGAACAGAAGCAGGCAAAAACAATAACCAAGATAAAAGGAGGGAATTTGTAGTGTGTAGAGTATTAAACAGGCCCTAGACTTTAATCTGTATAAAATTAACACCTTATCTAAGTTTGTATGAAATACTTTTATTATCCAGTGTAGATGCAGTGCACATATACAATAAATGTACTATTTACAGGAATATTCAATATGATATGTGTAATCCTAATGAAAGTTTTTTGAAATTATCCAAACCAGGTTACCAAATAAAATATTTTTATGTATCTGCATAATCTCCATAAAAATATAGCATTCCTACACAATCCGCTTGTGTGTGGGTGTGTGATTTATAGTGATTTTTATAACAAAGACACTCCCCAACTGACATTCCATATTCCAAAGTACCAAAAAAAGGAGTTGCAAGAAGTGTACCACTGCAGTATGAACTTTCCTTTAAAAAAATCATGATAAACGTAATTAACACATGGACCAGAATGCCAGCTTCCTTTGAAATGAGCAGGTGTTAATACCACGTATACTGGATATTTAAATCCACGTATTTACAAGATTGGTCATGGGAAAACAAACAAGATTCCAATTGAGTAAATTGAATTTATTAATTTGTGAATTAACTCCCACCTGTAAGTTAATTAAATATTAAACTGGATTTATTAAGCTGTAGACTAACATCTACCTGGAGGGCAGGAGAGGGGAAGACTCTGCTGATAAAAACAGAAATGCTATTATGTTTAAATACACATATTTTAAAAACTAGTGGCAAGAGTTCGTATTTTTTGTATAGGTTCATAAGCAGCATTCAGTTATACACGTAATATGGATTCTAGTATGTTAAAAAATCTGCACTTAATTATAAATTTTCTGTTTCTAGTTATCAGCATGATTCCCTACCTTTTTTTGACAAAAAACTGGATTGCAACAACAGTTTTGCAGTATGTTACAAATATCTGAATTGAAATGAATTGTCAAAAATATTAACCAAAGTGTCTTAATTCAAGTTTCCCCTTCATTCTCCAAGAGAAGCACAATTCTTCTACTGCTTCTTATCATTCTGGACCTCTGGAGCATAAACTGCAAGATATTCTGTATCTAAGACACCCAGTGTTCTACCTACTGGGATCTATCACACAGTTACTATCAGTGTTCTCCCTCTTTGATTACGTGTACACAATACTTTATTTATTTTCAGAGATCACCTTTGTACTACTTTATATTGTCCCATCGGTTTTGCCCATTAAAACCATATAAAAAGGCAGGGATTAAAGAGCACCGAATATCACAGTTCATAGAATTATACTGCCAGTATTTAAGTGTTGGTGCAGAAACTCCTACAGTTAATTTGCTTCTTCAAAGAGAAATTTTGAATTCTTGATTTTTAAAACACTAGATGTAATTGTATTTATCCAAGAGCAAAATGATGCTACAATCTACTAATAATTTGCACACAATGACCTTTTTTAAATAAACATTTGAAATATTTTAATTCTTTTTCTTTACATCACAGAGGAGAAAAAGTCACCACTAGTGCTTCAGGATTTAGAATACATATATCCACAAATAATCTGTAAAAATATTTTACATTATATATTGCAGCATTTAAACATTTGGGTTAGCGCAGCCATCTACTTTCAAGATACAAAAAAAAAAATGTAGAATAGAAATTTCGTAGAACCATGATATGGTTTGTACATTTGGTACATGAGCGTATACAGCAGCCTTTCACTTGCTCACTCGTTTATCATAAAGATGTTCAATGTATTTCAAAATCCAGTTAAACCAGACAGGCTGTATGGTCGGCTCTGGACTAAAAGTGCTTCAACCACAGGCAAGGATAAGGAACACAAGGAGTCATCAGCCAGCTGCATAGCTGCTAAGGAATGAGTAGAACATGGGGAGCTTGAAGCGTTGTTGGTCTCTGCGGCACCAGGCAATCACAGTTCCTTCATTGTTTGCTGTGTACAAGTGATGGCCGTCACAGGAAAAGGTAAGGCTGTGAAGAATTTTAAAACAAAAATGAGTCTGGAACAGAGGACACTGAGCACTCCAAAGGCTTAGTGGTGCACTTTAAAAGGAGAGGGGCAAGAGAAGAAATGCAAGACGAATACAGTAATACTGAAATCATTTATATCTTGCCTTTCTTTAAAAAACATTTTCCTCACAATAGTTAATGTAGAAGTCTAGGAATGAAGACTATCAGGAATCCCTGCAGCACCAGCACCACTCCTACAAATGCATCATCCCAAAAAAACTGCCAAGCGTCAAGTCTGTTCCCAGTCTTGGTTTATTTTATTTCTGAATTTTGAGTGCTCTCCCCCACGTCTTTGTGCTGAAGTGCATACGCAGCCAGATTTAAAATAAACTATTACATTTACTTTATTTCTCCACTCTGTATACTGGCATAGCAGCAACTGACTCATCAATGCTCCCCATTATGTGCCCTCTCCGTTTCAAGCATTAACATGGAATACAATGAGTTGAAAGCAGCATTCCCTACAAAAAAAGCATGAGAATCAATCTCACTGCGAAGTATGAGGTCCCTTTTCTGATCTACAGTGGTACCTCGCAAGACGACAACCCTGCTAAATGACGAAGCCGCATAATGATGCCTTTTTGTGATTGCTATAGCAATTCGCAAAACACTTATTCCAATGGGGGATTTTGCTGGACATGGATTAGGTCCGTGCTTTGCGAACCGTTTGTTCACAAGATGACAAATTTTTCAGCTTCGCAAAATGGCTGCCCTGTGTTTTCTGGACCTATGCTTCGCAGGGCAGTCATTTTTACAGCTGATCAGCGCTCGCAAAATGGCTTCCCTATGGGCCATCTTCGCTGGACGAGGAGGTATTTTCCCCATTGGAACGCATTAAACCGGGTTTCAATGCATTCCAATGGGGAAAGGGTTTTCGCATGACGATGATTTCGCTAAACAGCGATTTCAATGGAATGGATTATCATCGTCATGTGGGGCACCACTGTATTCTATCCCGTGATTTTAAGAGGGATGCCACTGTTTTCCATATAGCAAGCAAATGATCTGCAGTTTTGCATATTTTAATAACAAATACATTGTTTAATCTTATATAGAAAATAAGTACTAAGAGTAAAATAAATTTATAATTAAGAATTATAAAGTCCAAGACATAGCCTTCAAACATTAAACTTAAGCAAAGCAGATTTTAAAATTTCAGTTAATGCTTAAAATCATTAAAAAGACTCAACACTAAATTCCTTTGTGTGATAAAATGGAAGATTTTTTTTACCTTACAATGGGTTTATTTGATTTGGGAAATGTAATCTCCCGTACAGGTTTCAAATCCCATGTGCTCCACAGCCTAAGAAAAAGAAAAGATAGAATTATTGCTGCCATGTACTCCTGCCAACCTAACAGTTCGAAAGAATGTAAAAATGCGAGGAGATAAACAGGTACTACCACAGTGGGAAGGTAACAGTGTTCTGTGTCTAGTCACGCTGGCCACGTGACCATGGAAACTGTCTGCGGACAAACGCTGGCTCTACGGCTTGGAAATGGGGATAAGCACCGCGTCCTAGAGTTGGACATGACTGGACAAAATGTCAAGGGAAACCTTTACCTTTATCTTACAGCTTATTTACAGAAGAAGTTTTAGGGAAGCTGAGGTGATACTGCAATACCACCACTAACTATAGTGTACATATTCATTCTGTTTTTATATCCTCTTGTGCTCTCTAGTGCTGAACGTGCGATGTAGGATTCTGTATTGTTCCAAGAAGGTGTCCTGGAAAAGCCAAATCTAGCCTTCCAAAGTATAGCCCTGCTTCCCTGATACATGCATACATTTTAATGTGAGTATCTGAAGTTAGGAAGACGGGACCATCTTGTTTCCAAATTTGGCCACCAGGTGCTTCTGGGAAGTCTTTGGTGCTAGTTCTTTTCTCCTCACTGAGCAGTATTTACACACTCTGAACCCTATTTTAAAGAATCTAAATCAATGATCATCATGTTCTTGTGTTGGGGTACAATATTTAATTCCACATGTGAATTATGCATATTATGAAGTAATTTTTACTGCCCTCAATACTGCTAATCACTTCTGTTGGATGATCTCAAACTGTGTTCTATCAGAGAGAGTACTATTTCTTCTTCTCTCCATACCGTGAATAATTTTATAACTCCTACTATGTCCTTCCCATTCAAACTCACTTTCATCTACATGAACACTAAAGCCTTTCTCCCTGTGTAGGGTATTCCAGCATCGTTGTGGCCACATTCTTGTAAATCTGTTTGTCTCCCTCAAATATGCTTTTTCTACTTCACAGATATACAAGAATGAAGTTTTGGAATAATTTCAAAATTAATTTTCTAAAATGCCTCATTGGACAGGTGCATATTCACACTAAAAATGGGTCTCCTGTTTCCTTCTCCAACTTTTCTCTCACTGAAAGATTGTTTTCATCTGTTGCAGGTTGGTTCCCCTAAGCAAAAACTTTCCTCTTCTCTATCGTATGTAATACGATATTTATGTAATAAAGCAAAGTGGGTGAAATGCAATGCGCAGAACATCACCAACTTCTCATGGGTTGCTCTCCAATGGAAAAAAGTATTGTCCCACTGTGAAAAATTATACCCTTGAAGCTTTCAGAGCATGTTTTGCTATTTTTACATAATTTACCCCAGAATCACTTTAGGCAAAAAAGAAGAGCCCTTTAAAAAACAAACCAATCACTTCCAGTCTTGAAAAAGGACACTTTTAGGACTAAAACAAGCTAGAAAGAGCAAGATTTCATTATAATGGCAAATTGAGCTGTCCCTTGCAAATTCTGGGGGCACAATCTGCCATTCTGGCAGGCATTTTTTTCTTCCAGGTTGTTGGAAAGGCCAGGGTCAGAGCAAATCCAGGAGATAAAAATAGCCCCCTGCCCCTAAACACTGTTGTTGTTGTTTAGTATTTTAGTCGTGTCCGACTCTTCGTGACCCCATGGACCAGAGCACGCCAGACCATCCTGTCCTCCACTGCCTCCCAGAGTCAGGTCAAATTCATGTTGGTAGCTTCGATGACACTGTCCAATCATCTCGTCCTCTGTCATCCCCTTCTTCCTTCACACTTTCTTAACATCAGGTTCTTTTCCAGGGAGTCTTCTCTTCTCATGAGATGGCCAAAGTACTGGAGCCTCAGCTTGAGGATCTGTCCTTCCAGTGAGCACTCAGGGTTGATTTCCTTCAGAATGGATAGGTTTGTTCTCTTTGCAGTCCAGGGGACTCACAAGAGCCTCCTCTAGCACCACAGTTCAAAAGCATCAATTCTTCGGTGGTCAGCCTTCTTTACGATCCAGCTCTCACTTCAATACATCACTACTGGAAAAACCATAGCCTTGACTATGCGGCCCTTTGTCGGCAAGGTCATGTCTCTGCTTTTGAAGATGCTGTTGAGGTTTGTCATCGCTTTCCTCCCAAGAAGCAGGCATCTTTTAATTTTGTGGCTGCTGTCACCATCTGCAGTGATCATGGAGACCAAGAAAGTAAAATCTGTCACTGCCTCCATATCTTCCCCTTCTATTTGCCAGGAGGTAATGGGACCAGTGGCCATGATCTTAGTTTTTTTGATCTTGAGCTTCAGACCATTTTTTGCTATGAAAGTAAGATCTTTGTAGAAACAGAGAAATAGCCTGTTCCCACTGCTTTCTTTACTTAAAAACAGACATCTGAAAACACAGTATGACACAGTTTCAAAAGAGGACATCCTGGCTTTTATATCAGCCAAAAACAGGGATCAGAGTTCTATTGCTCATGTATGCTGGCTTAAGTGAAAAAGTGTAAATCTTGGATGTGAATTGCCACTTCTTATCACTGTTGTATTTCTCATTGTGTGCCAGCCGTGGAGCTTAGTGGGCAACGAAGAATATAAGCAAGTACTCCTTAAATAGCACCAAGTCATCTCTGTGATTTACATTATTGCCTTTAGGCTGGTATACAGAGGTGCCTCGCATTATGACTTTAATTCATTCCAGCGAAATCACTGTAGAACGAAAATGTCGTAATACATAATTAAAAGCCCATTGAAATGCATTGAAACGCCTTCAATGCGTTCCAATGGGCTGGAAACTCATAGTCCAGCGAAGATCCTCCATAGTGCAGCCATTTTCGGTGGCTGTCTTGCGAGGAATCTGTCCCAGAAAACAGCGGCGAGCCATTTTATTTACCCGGCGGCCATTTTGAAACTGCCAATCAGCTGGAGGGAAATCGTCGTTTTGCGAAGAATCGGTTCCCGAAAGTGAAAAAAACCCATTCAGACCATCGTTTTGCAATCACAATTGCGATCGCAAAAAGATCGCCGTAATGCGGTTTCGTCGTAATGCGGGGCAATCATAAAGCGAGACACCACTGTACATGATCAACAGGATTCTGATCACAGTATCATAGGCCCAAGGTGGTCTGTTATAGCTAGGAATGTAAAGAATACCTGGAAAATTCCTCATGTTAGTCAATTTTCCAAATATTGCCATGTCATGACTTCATAAAGAGATCTCTCCCTGTACCCCTAAGATATTTCAGATTTTTAAAACCAGGCTTGATTCCCATGTTTATCTATTTATATATTTCCCCCATTTGTCTCCTAACTTAATCTAAAAACTAGGTTTTTTTGTAGAAATAACTGCTAAATTCTGCACAGCTCAGTGCCCTTTCCAGACAATCCTGTAGAGCAAATAAGCAGTTTTGTGCAAGAACTATAATAACTGTATGCAGGCTAGTGCATCTTCTGGGGAGAAAAAGTCCTCAAAACATCCAAGAAATTTGGTGAGACCCCTTAGGGGGAGAAAAAAAAATCTTGCACAGAGAAATCTCACTGTGAGGGGAGATGAGGATTTCTCTCTCTCTCGGTTTTTCACGGAGAGTGAAAGAGTTATGAGATTCACATCCCTAATTATAGGCACTTACCGCACAACTCCATTTTCAAGCCCTCCAGCAATCACATTGATAGAGACGCCTTCAGGCTGGTTTGAGAAAGCAACAGAGCATATAATTTCTCTGCAGTGCACATGTCCCACAAGATCACCATTTACGGTCCAAAGTCTGAGATCACTGCCACCACCAACTGAAATACAGCAAAACCACTGCATTAGTAAAACAAAATGCAGAACACAATTAAATTGAATCAATTTGTCCACAGGAGCATTCAATTAAAAAGGATTTTTAAAAATGAATGACTTCTATAAAATCATAAAGCAGCATTGCATTATATAATATTTTCTGGCAGTAACAATGCATAGGAAAACTAAAGAAAACACATGTAAGAAAATGTAGCATCATTAAATAAGGGAAATAAAAACAAACATTACTGAAACAATGAAGATACTACCAGACTTTAGGAAGATTTCACTCTCAATATAAACAGACTGCCTTATATTTGAAGCTCTCAAATATTTACATTTTATTTCAATCATGTATATACTTTTCCCATATATGGTCAAGTTTCTATGAACCCAAGTAAAGACATAAAAGATATATTGGCCCAACTAATGGAAAGACAGCACAGAAGCAATGCAGCTCATCCTGTCTCTTCCTTAGATTATGTTTACAGGTATTCTAATTTCTCCTCAAAATTGTTTTCTGGGAACACAGACAACTGGTAACATAAGAAACTGCCTCTAGTCAAATCCTCTTAAGCCTGGGGAGGATTCTTCAGCTCCACCTCCATATTGTTATTGTTTAGTCATTAAGTTGTGTCCAACTCTTCGTGACCCCATGGACCAGAGCACGCCAGGCCCTCCTGTCTTCCCCTGCCTCCTGGAGTTTGGTAAAATTCATGTTGTTAGCTTCAATGACACTGTCCAACCCTCTCATCCTCTGTGATCCCCTTCTCCTCTTGCCTTCATACTTTCCCAACATCAGGGTCTTTTCCAGGGAGTCTTCTCTTCTCATGAGACGGCCAAAGTATTGTAGCCTCAGCTTGAGGATCTGTCCTTCCAGTGAGCACTCAGGGTTGATTTCCTTCAGAGTGGATAGATCTGTTCTCCCTGAAGTCTCAAGAGTCTCCTCCAGCACCATAATTCAAAAGCATCAATTCTTTGGCAGTCAGCCTCCTTTATGGTCCAGCTCTTACTTCCATACATCACTATCACTTCCATACCACTATATGTACATCCAATGTGATATAATACAATACATCCATATGGTACTATATCAGATTGGCGGGAACATTCTCCCTGTGACAATTTTATCAAATGTGAACATCTGAAACAAAATGTAGACTACGTGAAACCTATTCCTGGTATGCAGACCGATAACATGGATTACTAGAATTCACAGTCTGGAATCTCCATATTCATAGAACCATGGCTGGAAGGTGAAATCCATTTAGTTCAATCCAGTATGTGATGCAGGACACACAGAGCTAAAGTATCCCCAAACAATAAGGTATGTTTCAGTCACAATCTGCTTGTGATGTTTGCAGAAGTGTGTGGAGGCAATGTGCCAGACAAACTGGACTGATCCAGTTTACGTAGGTAAAGTTCTGAACTTTGTCTATGGGATAACAACAACAACAATGATGTATCTGTTATGTAATACCAGTCAATGCTTTTAAATTTTGATTGGCTGTTTCTGTTACTTAACAACAACAACAACAACAACAACACTGTTTTTCCCCCAAAATAAGACAGGGTCTTATATTAATTTTTGCTCCAAAAAACGCATTAGGGCTTATTTTCATGGGATGCTTTATCTTTTTTTCATGTACAACAATCTACATTTATTCAAATACAGTCATGTTATCTTCTGGTTGCTCTACAATAGTGGAAGGCAGGGGTTCACTTAATTGGGGCTTATTTTTGGGGTAGGGCTTATATTATGAGCATCCTGAAAAATCATACTAGGGCTTATTTTCAGGTTAGGTCTTATTTTTGGAGAAATGGTAACAACAACAACAACATCAACAACAACAACAACAGAAGAAGCATGACATGGAGTTAATTCTGTTTTATGACGACCATTTCCAAGGTCTTGTAGGTAAAGAATATGAAGAAGTCATTTACTGTTCACTTCTTTTAGGGCATCCTGGGATTGTGAAGCTTGCCCAAGGCCACACAGGCTGGGTTTTCTCACAGGAGTCACAGTGGGGAATTGAACTCCCAACCTCTGGCTCCATAGACAGTTACCTAAACTACTTACCTATCCAGACAGCTATTGGGATAAGTTAACCATTATGGTAGCCAGGTATATTTTGTAATTTTATGCAACTGTGAAGTATACTAGCGGGTACTAATTTCACTAAGTTTACAAAGACATGGAAGTGTGTGCCAAATATTGAATGAACTCCCAGATGCTGGGGTACAGTGGGAGCATGGGAGTGAAAATGTGTTTCTGTTGATTGGGAGAAAGGGCACTGGCTTGTCACATAGATCCATATCTCTTCCCATAAGAAAGAGAAGAATGAAGGGTGTACAAAGGAAAATATAAACATCTGATTTACATAATTTATAAAGGGCACCTTTTAAAGGATTACACACAGAAGCCCGGCACATGCTTTTTGTGCATCAACATACAAAAAAAGCCATAAGTATAATTAATAAACCCAATCCCAGAGACATCTGACAAGGAGGAACATTTAGGACCGACAGGTTGCCTACCTGTAATTCTAGTTCTTCGAGTGGACCTCTGTGATTCATACTCTGGGTGATCTGCGCATGTGCGGAGCCTCGCCAGAATATTATAGAGCTTCTGCGGTAGCAAAAAGATACATTAGTGCAGACCCCTCCCCTCTGATAGATATACCTTGGTGGCAAGACTCCCCCTTCAGTTAGGTTAACCACCACATAAAAAGAAGGGTGTGACAGTGGGGAGGCCGGGTCGGGATGTGTGAATCATAGAGGTCCACTCGAAAAACTACAATTACAGGTAGGTAACCTGTCATTCTTCTTTGTGGCCTCTGTGAATCACACTCTGGGTGACTAACAAGAAGGGTGTCATGCCAAGGTAGGTGACAATACAGCACATCCAAAAGTAGCATCAGACTTCTGACAAACGACCAATCAACAGTGATTGATAAACGTGGATGGCTGTGACAATGTGGCAGAGGTGCAGAGGTCAGCGAGGGGGACTCCTCGAAGAAATGCTATGGATATTGCCAACACCCTGGTGGAATGAGGGTGGCTATTCTGTGGTGCTGGGACGCGAGCAAGCTGATAAGCAAGCTGGATAGCAGACACGGCCCATTTTGATATTTGCTGTGGGGTAACTTGGAGACCATTGGCAGGAAGTTGGTAGCTGATGAAAAGTCTAGCTGAGGCTCTGAAGGACTGAGTGCGGGCTATGTAGAAGGCCAGAGCCCATCTAACATCCAATGTATGGAGAATCCTTTCTTGAGGATTAGATGGAAATGGAAAGAAGGGCAGAGGAACCAAGGGTTTGGACAGGTGAAAAACCTTGGGCAAAAAAGAAATAGCTACAAATACTTTGACTTTGTCAGGGTAAAACTGAATATAAAGGTAGTCAGATCTCAAGGCTGCTAGTTCACTAGCACAGCGTGTTGACGTGATAGCTACAAGGAAAGCTGTCTTAAAGGTATGTAGTCTAAGGTCAATTGACACAAGAGACTGAAACGAGGCCCTTGTAAGGTATCGAAAGACTAGTGTCAATGACCATTGAGGCGATGGGGCACATATGTCAGGATACATGTGTGACAGTCCTTTGAGGAAATATTACAGAGTAGGGTGTCTGAAAAATGTAGCTGCTGGAGAAGTTGGTGGTTGATAAGCCATGATTGCCGAAAGGTAAATGTTGAGGATGAAAGAGAAAGTCCTTTAGTCTTTAGTTGCAAGAGAAAGTGAAGAATAGTGCTGAGGGAAGGGTTGATTGAAGACAGCAATGACGTTGCAGTGAATGATTGGATTTTTTTCCATTTATACATGTAGGCCTTCCTGGTTGAGGGTTTCTTTGCATGATGAAGAACATTAATCAGGGAGGCAGAAAGCAGATGAGACATACTGGGCAGGTGATAAATAATTTGGAAGACAGCTGATGGAGAATTGGAAACCATGGCTGTTGCAGCCGCCATGGAGCTATTAGGATTGCATTGAGCCTGCCTGGTGAAGACAGACTACGACCTTGTGGAGAAGTGGAAATGGTGGAAAGAGGTAAGTCAGTGATTTGGGCCAATGCCTGATGAAGCCGTCACTGTGGGAATTCTTGCCAACTCCTGCGTGGGAGCAGTAACGTTTGCACTTCCGGTTTGTTCGGGAGGCAAAGAGGTCCATGGTGGGCATGCCCCAGCGAGTGCACAGGGAGAAAAAACTGTCTGATCTAGCTCTCACTCATGGGCTTGGGATTCTTTGCGACTGAGCAAATATGCCAGATTGTTGTTGTGACTGGCTACATGGATTGCCATGAGACAATTGTGGTGAGAGAGACACCATTCCCACAGGTCGACAGCAAGATATAGGAGGCTTGGAGAGTGAGTACCCCCTTGTTTGTGGCGGTATTGTCTGTGGCTATTTGAACAATTTTGCCGATAAGATGGTTCTTGAAGGCCTTGCAAGCTTTTATCACTGCTAGTAGTTCTAGCTCATTGATAATGGAGCATTTTTTTAATTTTCGAGACCACTGGGCATGGATTTGCAGGGATCGGCAGTGGGCACCCCAGCTGGTGAGACTGGCATCTGTGGTAACCTGGATCTGTGGACAAGGTTGTTGGAAAGGTTGTCCCATCTTCAGGTTTTGTGTGGAGCGCCACCATAAAAGCTGGGAGGTGAGTTCTGGAGTGACTCAAAGTAAGGTATGTGGTGGGCCTAGCAGTGGGTTGAATAAGGCCAGAAACCACGCTTGAAGGGTTCTCATTTTCAGGCAGACATGCTGAACAACAGAGGTCATTGAGGCCACTGTACCTAAAACATGTTGGACCGTCAACGCAGAGATAAGTGCATGAGAAGTGAAGGCAAGGAGCAAATAAATTAAGCTGAGACGTTTGTCTGTTGGGAGAAACACTTGAACTTGTTTGGAGTCTATAACAGTTCCTATGTAACAGATTAGTCTTGTAGGAGTCAACATGGACTTTTGCAGACTCACTTTGAGGCTGAGATGTAGGAGGAGAGACAACGT